CATTTCCTTTGAAATGGGTTTGTCTCCCTTGAGATAGCTTCTCTTGAAGCATCATCTTCGATTCGTTTTCTCTTGAAACCATTATCCTTAAAGATGGCCTATCGTCCTCATCACGTAGGAACCGTGTCATCCTCCGAACAGACCTCCTCATCACGTAGGAGTCGTGTCACCCTCAGATAACCAACTGTCATCATCACGTAGGAACAGTGTTATCATCCCTAAAGGTGGTATATCATCCTCATCACGTAGGAACCGTGTCATCCCCCGACCAGACCTCTTTATTACGTAGGAGCCATGTCACCCTTAGATAACCAGTTGTCCTCATCATGTTGAAACCATGTTATCATCCCTAAAGATGGCCTACCATACTCATCACGTAGGAATTGTGTTATCCCCTGACCAGACCTCATCATCACGTAGGAGCCGTGTCACCCTTAGATAACCATCCATCCTCATCACGTAGGAACCGTGTTATCATCCCTAAAAATAGCCTATCATCCTCATCACATAGGAACCGTGTTATCCACCGACCAGACCTCCTCAACACGTAGGAGCCGTGTCACCCCTAGATAACTAGTCGTCCTCATCGCGTAGGAATCGTGTTATCACCCCTTCCTAAAGAAGGCCAAAACTCTTCATCACGTATGAGATATGTCATCCACCGACAAGATCTCATCATCACGTAGGAGCTGTGTCACCCTTAGACGACTAGTCCTCTTCATCACGTATGAGTCGTGTCGTCCCCAAATCAACCCATATCAAATTTTAAAACCAATCAAAAAGAGAACCAGATAAACTTTTTGTCTTTTCGTCTTTGCCCAATTTTTGTTAACACAAGAATGTGCAAATAAGAGTAGTTGTTGACACCCGTTTTTATCTAGGTCTCGAAAAAATATTATATTATATTATTATTTATTATTATATTATTATTATTATTATAATTATTATTATTAATAAATTATTGTTACAGTTTTTGCAGATTACAACTCAAGCCCAAAAGCCATTTCAAAGTATCCTACTAGACCCAATCAGCAGCCCACTCAGACAAACCCAGATTACAACCGATCCAGGTCTACCCGGATCCGACCCGAGGCCCAACTCCAGACCAGCTAGGGTTTCATCAGCTTCTGCCCAGTCGCCCCTGATCTCCATCGTTAGATCTGGACTCATCCAATGGTCCAGATCACCCAAAAGCAATTAGGGTTATAAACCCTAACTTCAGCAGCTACTGTCGTTAACACCAGCTCAACCGTCGTTAACTTCCTGAGCCACTACCATCGAAACCGATCTTCACAAATCCATCAAACAATGAAAATCAACAGTAGAAATGGTAGGGAAATAAAAAAATAAATAACCAAAATCTCGAGGCAATCCAGGTTGTCAAACTAGCCGAAATAGTGTATTCATACCCTATTTCTTCCTCGATAGCAGTAGAAGTCTAAATCTATCAAGCCATCACAAATCAACATAAAAGAAGAGAAAGATAAAAAGAAAGAAAAGGGGACCATTTAGGGAAAAAGAAAACAAAAAAAACCTACTTCCCATTTAAACAAGACATCGAACCAAACCAGAAGAAAAACGAGATAAAGCAAAAGAAAAAAAAAAGATAGAAAAATAAAAAGAACCAATCAACCTATTAGAACCCAAAACAAAGAAAACCAGAAAAAATAGAGAGAGAGGATTCTCATCGTGGTTCGAAGCAAGTCTGGAACAAAAGGTCGCCGGCTTCTAGTTGCTTCGAAAGGTAACAACCTAGATCTAAGAGTTTAGGGGTTGTTTTAGGCTAAACGGCGTTGGGTTTTGGTTTTAGAGTGGTGATACGAAACTTTCGGTTGGTTTTCTCTCCCTCCGGCCACCGTGGGCCACCATAGGTATCACCGGTGTGGGGCAACTCTTTCTTCTCCGATGAGGGAAGTTGAGAGAGTTCATAGAACTCACTCACCTTTGGTTTTTTTTTGATGAAGCAAATGAGGGGAGTTGGGAGATATTAGGCATGAGTTTGGGTATAAATACCCAAGTCAAAACGCAGTCGTTTTGCCCCCAACCCCATCCGTGTTTTCAAGTTATGGGATAACTATACTTTTAGTCCCCAGGGTATTATAATACCATATTGAAGCATTTAATGAAGTTTCACTTTATTTGATTTTGAGTATTCATGTTTCATTATTTATGTTTTAGTCCTGCTATTATATGCCATATGATTTTTGTTAATGTTTGACTTTGGGAATGATATTTGTAAATTTATTATTTTAGTCACAGTTTTACTTTTGGTTTAATTATTATTTGGCCACTATATTTGCAAGTATTTTATTTTAGTAATTATTTGGCATTTATGATTAATTATTATTTAGTCCTCCATGTTTCTTGTTTATTTTATTTTAGTCTGTAAATGTTATTTATGGGTTATTTTTGTTCCTGGTCCCTGCATTTATTTTAAATTGATTATCGGGGCTCTAATTTGTTCATATTTGTTTATTAGGTCCTTTCAGGTTCTGTCAATATCAGTTTAGTCTTTAAAATTTTTGTTTTTGTTGTTTTAGTCCCTTAAGTTTTTGTTTTTGCTATTTTAGTCCTTTAAATGTTTGTATTCACTATTTAATCCCTTAAGTTTCTATTTTTCTATTTTAGTCCTTTAAATGTCTATTTTTTCCAATTTTATTCCCTTAAATTCCTGTTTGTAGTATTTTGGTCCTTTAAGTTTTTGTTGTTCCCATTCTGGTCCTTGTAATTATAAATACTTACTTTTTGATCATTATATTTTGGGTTGTAATATTCATTTGTATTTATGTCAATCCCTTATCTATGTACATATTTTTATGTTATGTATTCATTTGTATCATATGTAAATAAATATGCTTAACTTTATTTGTTGTAAATATTTTATTTCACATATTTCTATTTGTATTTATTTCCTTTTTATTTCTTTATTTAAATATTATCCAAATATTTCCAATAACGTATTTGTAGAACGAGCGTGGAGAGTATCACTTTATCGAAGTGGTACAATCCGATACGACGTTCAAACGAAATGAAAACTTGAAATAAATTTATTTCGTTTTATTAATTAAATTTTATTATTCTAATGATCCATTATGTTTTTTGTGTAATTTATTTTATACAAATATTGATTTTTATTTCAAGTTCTATAAGCATATTTATTGATAAGGGAATATTCTTTATGGATAAGAAATAAACGGAATAGCCTTACCATTGGAGGACGTGCGAATCTCGGGATTTCTTATCAAATTAAGGAATGTTCCCTAATAAATAATTCGAAGCAAATTAATTAACTTTAACAAATGGATCATACTTTAAGTATCGATTTGAATTCATTATTTCCACCATTACGACAACCTGTAAGCGATTGAGTACCAATTTTGGGCGCTGTGGGGGTTCTAATACTTTTCAACGTAAGATCCTATACTTTTCAGAAAAAAATCAAGGTATGCCTCTACTTGGTTTTACACCTAACATGGCCCTTCAAGTTAGAAAAAAAAAATCAATGTGGTCATTTGACCAACGACTCTATTACTTTTTGCTGAAATGACACGTTAAACTGGCCAAAATCCTATTTTTTTTCTCTTCTATTTTGGTCATTAAACTTTAAAAGTTTTCAATTTAATCACTCGACTTTTGAATTACTTATATTTTAATCATCATGATTTATTTTATTAATATTTATGTATGATGTGGCATTTTTTCTTTTCAACCAAATATTTCTTTTTCTTTTCTTTCTTTACCAGATTCAGTGAACCCAAATTGAACTTGTAAAAAAAATTGAAAAAACTGGGGAAAAACTCTTGACCTGGTAATGAAAGGGAAAAAATCTTTAGTTGAAAAGGAAGAAAAATGAAATGAGAGGATAAAAAGAGGAGAGTGGAGATTTGGAAATATATAAAACAGAGGGAATATTTTTTTCAATTTAATTATAATTTTAGGAATATTTTTTTCAATATAATTTTTAAAATTTTAATTTAATTAATATTATTTTAATCATATATTAATAAAATAAGAATAATAAATGTTACATCATACATAAATATTAATAAAATAAATCACGATGATTAAAAAGAGGTAATTCAAAAGTTGAGTGATTAAATTGAAAACTTTTAAAGTTTATGACCAAAATAGAAGAGAGAAAATAGGAGGTCCAGATTGAGTTATTTTCTTAAGTTGGAGGGCCAGATTGAGAGAAAAATATGATTTTGGCCTGTTTAACGTGACAAGTCAGCACAAAGTAACGGAGTCGTTGGTCAACGACGGAAAACATTGGTCAAATGATCACATTAAGCTTTTGTTTTACTTGAAGGGTCACATTGAGTGCAAAAAAGAAAAAAGTAGAAGACCACATTGATTTTTTTAAAGTAAGAGGGTCTTAAGTACCCTTTTACCTTTGTTTTATTGATGTTGTTCACTTCAAAATTTTATTCATGTTTATTTCATTTAAAAATTTTGGATTATTAATATATGTGTAGTTACCTTCAAAAATATTTTTAAATCCGTTACGACAACAAACCATGTACCAGACACCACATATAGTGTTCAATAAAAATGAAAACTAGGTACAATAAGAAATAAGTATAAAATGAAAACCATGTACTTTTCATTTTAGGTGTTTTGGGGTTTTTAATATTTTAAAAGAAATTAAGGTTTTTTATAAATATAATATTTTTTTAATATTTTTTTAAAAATAAATTTTAAAATTATTAGATTATGACACATGTTATTTAACGAAATAAATTAACGTTGTTGATAGTCCAAACAACTAAAATGATAATATTTATAATGTTATATACTAAATTCATTTAAAAAATAGTTTAAAAAACAATTTTTGGAATGAGTTATAAATTTGAGTTTCTTACTTTACATTTAAGCCTAACAAAAACAAAAGTAGGTGTTTTAACCACTCCACTTTCAAAGCCTTTTTGCTCAGTACATGCACCTGCACCAGAATAAAATCCTAAAGAAAACAACGTTGGCTTCCTCAGAAATCGAAAGGTTAGTTTTTGTCCACTTGTAGGCCAATTTTCCATTTTCATTGTGCACAAAACGGAAAGGGAAGAAACCATCTGGAAATATAGTTGTTGTTGCAGGTTAGAGTCTGAGCGCTTAATTATTAGATATGAATCTCACGGCCATCACCTCTTCTTCTTCTTCAAGAGCTAATCCCATGCTTTTCTCGAATGGTTTGTGACTTTCTTTTTCTGTCGTTTCATTACAAAGTTTGTTCATATGATCATATCCTAATCATCTTTTATCCTGCACTGCAGCTGGTGGAAAACTTGTGCCAAAATTTTGTTTAAATAAAAACTATGGATCAATACTCATGCATCATCAATCCTGGGAGTTTTCATGGGTCAAGAGAAATCTTGTTTTTGCAGCTCCAAAGTCCATCTCAAGTATGATGTTCCACTCTTTTTCCCTCTCTTTTCCATCAACTTATGGTAACAAGATACTATCTCTTCGTATATATATATATATATATATATTGCCATCTTTCCCAGAAAAAGGTGTGAAGAGAGGTGTGGAATTCAAAGTGAGGGCATTTAGTCCAGAACAAGAAGCTTTGGTTGTCAAATCATGGAATTCCATGAAGAAAAATGCTGGTGAACTTGGTCTCAAATTCTTCTTGAGGTTGATTACCTAAGTGCTCTACTTTTCCAATTTACCGATAACCATCCATCCTATTTCATTACAGTATAATAAGTAGATCAAAAACTAAAAATTTCCAGGATTTTTGAGATTGCGCCTTCTGCTAAGAAGCTGTTCACCTTTCTGACGGATTCAGATATCCCTCTAGAGCAAAACCCCAAACTCAAACCCCATGCCATGACCGTGTTTGTTATGGTATGTTGATGCTACTTTTTCTTTTTCTTATCTCATTTTATATTGCGTAATTTTGCCATGTCGCCTAATCTACCATTAATTTACGACGGTTTAACCTAAAATGTTATATGCTTCAACCTAATAAGTTATATAATTGATAATAATTTTGATTATAACCAAGAATGTTACATTACCATGGATTTTAACCTAAAATGTTATGTCTACTCTAAAAAATTACACAATTGGTAATAATTTCAGATATAGAAAATGTATTGTAGTTAACCTTTTTTTATTACAACCAAAATAGTTACACAATTTACCTGATCTTTTATAGAGAACGTAATATTTTCGATTTCAACCGAAAATGTTACCTAGATCACTATAAAGAGTTGAGGTTTTTACAAGTTTTTTTTTTATTATAACTAATTTATGTCATTTTTTAACCTTATAATAGTATTTTAGACTCGTCCACAATTTATATAGTGAATCTAAAGGACTAGTTTGCAGACCTGTGAATCAGCTATCCAACTCCGAAAGACGGGAAAAGTTGCAGTGGGAGAATCCAATCTGAAAGATTTAGGTGCCACCCATTTCAAATATGGTGTCGTGGATGAACATTTTGAGGTAATGATCATGTTGTTCACCATAAAAAAATATATGGTCACAAGTGAACTCCATTTACCATTGCCAATGCATCGTGTAGGTTACAAAATACGCATTGTTGGAGACCATAAAGGAAGCAGTACCAGAATTGTGGTCTCCAGAAATGAAGAATGCTTGGGGAGAAGCCTACGATCAGCTGGCTGCTGCTATTAAAAGTGAAATGAATCCTCTTTAAGTTTGTTTTCATATAATATTTTGTATGATTTTGTTCTACTTCTATCTTTACCCAAATAAACCACTTTCACTATGTGCATGTCTCTTTGAAATTCTTACAATAATCATATAGTACTGGAATTTCCTTATTTTGGGAAAACAGAACATTGATCTTTGTAGAAAAATCTCACGGTTTAATAACTTTGGAATGAAACTGTACTTCTTCTTAACGCCATATTTACATAAAACCAATGTCTGAAATCACACTAAAATGGAATGGTAGTTAATACAATTAAACCGAAATTACAACACATGCAATGTTTTGAAAACAAAGTGGAATTAGAATCATTGTAGCTGAAACAAAATATAAGAGAAGAAAATTCTATATATGGCATCATCAAATGAAACAGGTTTAGTAAACATTGTGGAATCTACTTGCTTCCCCCAAATCCATATTAATTTACAGCCATGCATGAAAAAGTTTGGTTCCTTAACAAGCATCTCATCTCTTGATAAAAAGTTCGCTAATTAGCAACGGCAATGTTCGTATGGTGCCCTTGCAAACTCATAACACAACGAAGGCTTGACTCGTAACTTCAGTTCCAAAAATGAACCATTGACAAATAAAAATAGCTCAGCTCATCGAATGAACTATACCTTCTAGGTTCTAAGAAAGTTCTTCCTTGTTGAACTTGTTCCAAGCTTCCTGTTTCAATGCATAATAAAATGATTATAAAACCAGGCATATTAGGTTGTTTTCTTTTCTTTTCTTTTCCTTAGTCTTGTTAAAACTTAATTTTTCCATTTGCTTACATACAAAACTATAAAACAAACTTATTCATTGGATGCTTTAAGCTTGCTGTTTGCTTGGTGTCCAAAAAAACGAAAAAGATAGGATATTTAGCATTCCTGAAATACTCTAATCTGATCCCGGATATTCTAACAAAAAAAATCATCTAAACGAAACAAGTTTACTTGAAGATACATCACTACTTATAAGTAGTTGATAGACTGAACCAGCCACACCAAAATCAGAGTTTTGAACTTCATTTTACCCATTTTTTTGTAAAGGATGTAAAGTGGTCCTTGAGGAGACAACCAATTTTAAAATAAATGCCTCCTTGTAAATCATAGTGAGATTCACGGCGTACCTTGAGAATATAGAAAACTTTTTCAGCAATATATTTCTGTTCAAGTGTGGCACCTTTCTGCTGAGCCTTATCAGGATGGACGCATAATGTGGCCTTTCTATACACTTTTTTGACAGAGCCAGAGGTTATCAAATCAGTAAGTGAAACTGGCTCCCAACCACATTCAGGCCTAAGTACCTATTAGTTGAGGTAAAAGGTTAGTTGTGCAAACCAAGAAGCCAAAAGTTCTAAACCTTGCAATAATGATTTCAAAACATTAAACTGATAACCTCTTATTACAAAGGTAAATGCAGAGAATAGGGAAATGATGAGGAACACACCTGTTGCAATGATGATAACAGTGCACGCATATTGCCTTCCTTCCCGGCAACCCAGCGTTTTATCTCAAAATCCACAGCTTCAGCAATCCTCTATGCAAATTAAGGTGAACAAACTCACTAAAAGCGAAGAATTCATGACATACAAACAAAGAAATGGTGCAAAAGCATGTAATGCACATACACCATGAAGAATAAGAACCCCATATCTAATCTACAGTAAAGGCATCGACTGAACTACTTACACGCCTCTCTTCTTGCTCGTTCAAAGATTGACAATCACGCTGGTTCATATCAGCAACTGCTCTAGCCTAGTACAAAAACAATCCAGAACTGTTAAAAGTTGAACTATGTTTCATAAAAAAAATATAATTTTTATTTTAATATATATATATATATATATATATATATATATATATATATATATATATAGAGAGAGAGAGAGAGAGAGAGAGAGAGAGAGTGGTTTATCAATAAAGGTGCAAACAGAGGTGTCTGCCTGGCGTTTTTGCCAGCAGCACATAATGCATACCAATATACAAATCACAACAGGCACTAAAGGGACAGTTATTCAGGTGAGTAGCAGTGAGGTTCAATATATAAGTATCAAGCTCAAAGATGGCTAAAACAGCATAAGATTAAGTGTACTGATCACCAAAACAGCTTCCATTATCAGCCCACAGAAGAGCTAGATGCTTAGCATTTCTTTAAAATTTTGTCCTGGAAAATTGGCATTGTGCCTGGGTTGGCACCCCTTGGAGGCCTCAGGCTGTTCATTCTTTATTTGCGTGTTTATATATGTGAGGAAGCATGAGTGAGAAATCAGAAACATATATCATTGTTCACTTAACTGTACTTCTGCACTCACCAATAAATTTCTTCTTACGCAGCTACGCTTCTACTAATTTAATGTAATTCAAAGAATTAGGAATTAAAATAAGATAACTTTAAGGTAAGAATATACATACCATTCGATCCTGGGTCCTTTGGTGACGGCCTAATCTGGCTCTTCTTCTTTCTTCACTTTCCCCAGCAACTTCCTCGAATTTTCCGGATACTGTGGCAGCTTTTGAGAACAAACAATATGAAAATGATTAGCATCAAAAAAGCCAATTACAAATATAACTTCCATAGCCAGACGTAGTCCATCTCTATATCTCAGCAACAAAATACCTCCAAAAATAAAAGAAAGGTCATCCATTACACTTGTCATAGTGACAGGAGACGCCCTCTTTGCAGTGGATGATGCACCTGCAGATGTCTTTTTTTGTATGTCATGCTTATTTTGTTCAAACATGGGATCCTGATAAGAAGATAAAAGAAAGAGTATCAATACAAAATTCTGCTGCTTTCAGTAAGCGCCTAAGCGGTGGTACTTATCACATCTATAGTGCTCACCAAAGTTGTTGACCTTGACTTTGGTGCACTATTTGATCTGGAACTCACACCAAAAAAGGATTCCAGATCATCTGCTCTATTCTGTTGAGTCCCTCTTGTAGCATCGTCAGCTTCTTTAGATCTAGTAGTCTTATTGTGCACTCTCCACATCGCAAAGTCTTCAAGTTCATCTAACAGAGATGCGCCCGAACTCTTTACTGCATCAAGGATCCTCTCAATGTTACAAAGCTAATGATGGAATGGCAAAAGATAAATACACATTGGACATATTTTTTCTAAAGGATGCAGAAGAACCTTTATCAGCCTTCAAAACTTGGGCTGGTTTTGGAGGAGGCCTCAATGGTTGTGAAGCATTTGATGAACCACGAGGCTTTGTTCCTCCAGATTGATTAAGCATGCCGAATTCTCCCAGTAGATCTGTGGGGGATTTTGGGGAAACATATTTTGAGTCCAAATCTGAGTCTAAAATGACAAAAGGTTCCTCTGATGATCCGAAGGTTAATTTGGTTGCCTTAACATTAGTCCTGCATAATAACAACAACAAAAATATCAATTCCAATACTTGCATGCTAAAACATAATCATATTCAGGTGACTACTTCATTGAACCTGACTGCAAAAATGCTATGTTGTCAAGACCACGAGGTGCACTAGACACAAAAATGAGCTAGCCAGAGTGATGTAAAGCCCAATATGTATATATGTGTGTGTGTGTGTGTGTGTGTGTGTGTGTATAAAGTTTAAGACGTATAACAAACTCTAAACTATCTACAAAACATGATTTTTTTTATTAGTTAATATACATGATTCCTTATGACCAATGTTTGTTGTGGAATGCTCAAGTATTACGAAGTATAGAGTTCAATGTTATTACTTTCTTACAAGTAAAGGTATATCAAACGAAACAACCAGTGAAAAATTAAAGAAATTAAAGAGAATTTAATCAGGCAGGTTTTTTATGCCTATTGTCTTACAAAAAACAGTGTCTAGGTACACTAGAAGTGGGATCAAATAGGCCTGACCTGAATGGGTTTGAGGCGCTTTTGTGGTATATTGCTAAGGTTCAATGAGCAGGCGCACTTAGTAGCACGCCTAGATACCACTACAAATATTTGCACCAAATACGTGATACAGAATCCTAGTTTTTGCTGAAGTCCAATGCTTAACAATAGGGTCCAAAGATAACAGCTTCAACATCTTTGCTTCCTAGCCAGGAACACTAATTCATCGATTAACATTGGAATGTTTCCTATTCATGTAAAGCAATTTTATGTTTAGGAAGCAGAATAATAGAAATAATTTCCAAATCATGAGTTTTATGCCACCAATATTTATTTACGTCATCTACGCACACCCATAAATGTATCCATGTTATAGCATATTGCATTCTCAAAGACTTCAGAGCATGTTTTACCCAAACTAATCCCCCCCCCACCCAAAAAAAAATATCAGAAAAAGGGACTCGTGATTATGGAAAGAACAATTATCCCATATTCTACCAATGCATGACTTCTTGACTCTAAATGTCATTACAATTCATTTCCATTTTCAGCAAGTCAAACGGCAAAGAATTCAGCTAAAACTTTGACACTCAAAGCCACACCAATCAAGCAGAAAACTATATGCAATTTTTAATGAATAAATTATATTCATTTAAAGTAAATGTAAGCACCTATTCACAGGAGGGCTGCTTCCACCAAACCCGGGTATCAAATCATCAACACTAGCCTCATTTTTTGCCGAATCAAAAGAACCGTTCCCGCTAGATCTCTTCAATTTCGCAGCCACACCACTAAAATCACCCAGCAAGTCGCCGGCCCTTTTGCTTCGTTGAAGAGACAAAAGACCCAAAATCATCATCGTTACTTGCATTCTGAGAGACGGGCATTCCTCCAAATAAATCATCAACGACGTAGGAATACGTAGGAGAATGTTTTGGACCAGAATTCAAAAAAGACAAATCGAATGAAGATCCCTTACTACTACTTTTATTGCTCGTATTAGATTGCTTCGTTGTGGGGTTTTGAAAACCACCAAAATCGTCGCCAAGATCAAAATAATCACGAGAGTTTAGATTGGGGAGAAAGTCGTGATCATCAAGCAAAGAGCCGTTACCAGGATCCGAATCCCGCGAAGTTTCTGAAGAAAACGACGTGGGATTTCCGTTCCTGAACCCAAAACTTCGGTCCGATGTCGCGGTAGTGGCGGCGGCGGGGGTGTGTCGTTTGGCTTGCGACATCGGAACCGATTTCCCTAGCGGCTTTAAGCCGTAACGCTCTGTTAAAACGCCAAATTCGTCCATAAATCCACTCTCTTTACAAGAAAAACCAAACGGATCGGAGTTTTACGTGAAAGAAATATGTGGGTATTTCGCGGATATGAATTACAACAGATCTATGAAGAAAACGTAATATAAAATGGAAAACTTAACCAAATCGTATGATTAGAAAAACTTTATTATTTTCAAGGCTGAAAATTTTGACCTGAGATAGAGAGAAATAAGAAAAGGGTTATGGTTTTATGATTCAAATAATAAAACAAACGATGAAATAAACAAAAATGGCAAGAATTAACAGAGTGAAATAAATATAAGTTTCCAGAGGAAGACAAAGAAATGGTCTTTTTGTCCTCCTATTCTTCCCTCTCTTTCCTAGCTGAGTGATGGCTCAGCCCCCATCAATACCTGCCACTTTTTCAATTATTTTTTAAATGCTAGAAATTTTACTGTAAATAAAAAAATACACAATTTTTATAGAATAAAATAATGTTTTAAGTAATATTTTATCGGATATATTATCAAGTTTGATAAAATGTCCAATAATAATAAAATCAATATAAATAATAATATTTTAAATAATTTTTTATCGATTTTATTAAAAATAATAATAATAAAACTGATAACTTTCTTTAATTGTATATTAAGATGATCGTACGACATAACTTCCTCAACTTTTTATTGGCAACAAAATTATTCAAAAATACAGATTCTGTTGCTCTAACGGCTGGGTTACAACAGCGAAAAATAGCTATGCATTTTGATTAAATTAATAAATTTTCGTCCTTTATCGATTTATATTTAAAAAATAACTTTATGTTAACAAATTTATTTTTTGTAAAATAATAAATTATAAGATTTATTCTTTTCGTTTAAATTTTATATATATTTTTACTAAATTTAAAAAAATAATATTTAATCACTTTCGTTCTTATTTAATTATGATTCGGTCATATTTATTTTTAGGGTAAAGTATATAAATGATAATTGAACTTTTTAGATATTTGTATTTAGGTCTCCAAACTTTTAAAACATACAATACAGTCACCAACCATTTAGTTTGTTTGCAATATGGTCCCCGACGTAAATTATATAAATGATCACTGAACTTTTCAAGAGGTTGCATTTAAGCCCCCAACTTTTAAAACTTGCAACACAATCATCAATTACATTCTACATCCCAAAATCCAAAATGCTTCAATTACATTCTAAACCTCAAATTCCAAAATACTTCAATTACATGCTCAACCCCAAATTCATAATCCCTTCTCAAAATCTATCATAACAAACTAAAATTAAAGTAGCAACCCTAAACCCTCAAAACATAACAATTTCGAGAAAAAAATTAACCAACTATAAAGTGAACAATAAGTGATTATGTTGGGTTTAGGGTTTAGGGTTATGTTGGACCTAAATGCTCAATTCAGTTTATAAAATAGTTGACTCGAATTTTTTTCGATTTGAGTTTATAAAATTTAAATCAAGTCGAATTGAATTGAATTTTTGAGTTTCTGTTTAAATTTAATTATAAATATTTATCATATTATAATATTATTTGATTATAATTCAATTCAGTTTATAAAATAGTTGACTCGAAAATTTTTCGATTTGAGTTTATAAAATTTAAATCAAGTCGAATTGAATTGAATTTTCGAGTTTCTGTTTAAATTTAATTATAAATATTTATAATACTATAATATTATTTGATTCTAATTTAAATAGTTTTTAACCATATACAATACATATATTTCTTCATATATTTTTTTCCATATGTGACATACATATATCATACAGAGTCAAGGGACTTGACTCAAACTTAAAAATTAATCCACTAATTACTAAAAATTTTGAAATATTCTAGTTGTATTTTACAACTTGATTTTAACTTGAAATTTTTTAAGTTGAGTTTATGAAATTACAACTCAAAGTCAATTTGTATCAAATTTTTTTGAATCAATTCAAGTCGAAAAATAATTTTTCCGAACCGAATTGAGTATTGTTCACATATAGTTGGTTAAATCTAACTTTTAAATCCTAAACCCAACACAATCACTTATTGTTATGGACCCAAAATGAAATAAATGTTGTTGATTATGTTGGGTTAATTGGTGGGGAAATTTAGCATTTAGGGTTATGTTTTGAGGGTTTAGGGTTGTTGCTTCAAGTTCAGTTTGTTATGGAAGATTTTGAGAATGGATTATGAATTTGGGGTTGGGTATGTAATTAAAGTGTTTTAGAATTTGAGGTTTAGGATGTAATTGAACTATTTTGGAATTTGGGGTTTAGAATGTAATTGATGATTGTGTTGCAAATTTTAAAAGTTGGGGGACCTAAATGCAAGTGCCTGAAAAGTTTAGTGACCATTTATATAATTTACCCTAATGACAGTGAAACGGTCGTTACGTCGGGGACCGTATTGCAAAGGAACTAAATGTTTGGTGATTGTATTGCAAGTTTTAAAAGTTTGGGGACCTAAATACAAGCATCTAAAAAGTTTAGTGACCATTTGTATACTTTACCCTTAATTTTATTTAATTAAGATGTGTTAGTTGTCCTTAGATATTTGACAGATTACTGACCTGACACAGTAAATTTATAAAATTAAAAAGAGTAAATTACACAAATGCCTACTAATTTTTGAGTAAGTTTTCACTTTCTCTATTGAAATTTCAAAAATAACAAATTGGTCACTAAAACATCAAATAGGTCCTTAAACAATGATTTTATATCTAATTAATTCCAAAAGTTTTTAATGTTTTGTTTATCATTTAAAATATATGATTGGTTCATATTCAAAAAAATTAATTTTTAAGTTTTATTATTAAAATTTAAATTGTATATATGTCTTGGAAAAATTAAAAATCTTTTGGGATAAATTAGATATAAAATGTTTGTTCAATAACATATTTGATGTTTTAGTGATCAGTTTGTTAGTTTTAAAACTTTAGTGTGAAAAACGAAAATTAGTTAAACATTAATGACAATTTTTATATTTTATCCTTTTTAATTTTATAAATTTATTATATCACGTCAGTAATACATTAAAGGTTTAACGATAATTAACTTTATTGATCGTATCTTAATTAAATAAAAAAATATAAAAAAAAAATATTTTTTTTAATTCAATGAGGAAATATGTACAAATTTTAAATGAAAGTGATCAATTCTATAGGTTTTCATTTTAGTTGAATAAATTAGATATAAAATTTATTAACTCGTCAGTTCTAAAAGATATATTCAACTTTGTGGAAGAAGATGATGTAAAGTCCAATTTAAATAAGGATATGTTTCGATTCTTACAATAACAAGTAGCTAAAATCACGACTTCCACAACTCTTACCATTAAGCTTCTTGGAGAGTATATTCCTTACAAGACATTAAAGAGTTTTAGAAGAGGGGTTGCGATTTCAACGTACTGATATGCAGCAGACAATTATTTTTTATTTTTAGCTGAAAATTATTATTTTTTCTTTTAAACCTAATTTTCTATATATATATATATATCATACAAATCTAAAAACCTAATTTTCTTTTATTAGTGTACCATTTATTCCTCTCTCTTTTTTTTGCCTTTGTTGATAGGCGGTAGTACCAACTTAATGTTGGTTACCGACTGCCGGTATTATTTGTTATTTTTTTTCTTTTTTTTATATCGTATATTTATTTTATTTTAATTTTTTTTATTTTCAATAAGTCTGTCTGTGTTGTACGTTTTCATTTGGCTTTATAACATGTTTTCTTATGCTTTTTGGCTGTTTTTTATTTATCTATTTTCTAAGGGTTAATTTGACATTATCACGACTGATCAAGATGATGTTTATCTGATATCTTGTTGATCTTCCCTACTTTGGACCCTCGAATTGGATTTGGATACCCAATTTGTGTTCGTGGATAGATTTTCACATCGCTCGAGTCTGATTTACGGTTTGTCAGTGGTCTTTTAATAGCTTGATCCCCTTTGTGGTTCGTTTGCCGATGCGATCAGATATGTTTAGATCTATATTTGTTCGAGTTTCTTGATTAGATTTAATCTTTCCTTGTATGGTCTTTATGTGATCTTAAGTTACTAGTTTTATTTCAATAATTATAGAAGATCTTCTAATTATTTGCTTAATTTACGATTGTAATTGTAAATCTTTTTGTAATTTGAGATTTTTACTATTTTGAATAAAATTAATTTATTCTATAAAAAAATAAAATAAAATATCAATGATAAATTAGTTTTAGGAAATGAAGTTGTGATTTCACAACATAAAAAAATACATTGAAAATTAAAAATGAAAAATAACCTACTTTCTAAAAATAATAATAAACTATAATAATAAATTAGAAAGCGAAGTTTAATTATTTAAGAGAATTTATAAGGTTATATATTGTCCCTAATACGTAGGGCTGTTCATGAACGAGTGATCACACCGTTTAATCTAAACTATCGATTAATTGTTATAACTGTTATGAAATTTTTTAATAATAATTAATTGCTAATAACGATTAATCATTAAAAATTATCCATTATTAACGGTTCGATTACATATTAACATACGATTAACCAATTATAATTATTTATAAAAAATCATAATTTATACTATAAAAAAATTATAGCACTTAACACATACTTACAAAAGTGTAAGTGAATAAAATAAAAAAATATTGATAACTAACAATAAACACATAATTATATTGGTGTAAGTATATTTATGTATTTACAAAGAAATAAAAATAATAAAAAATATATATTAAAGTAATCGTGTACAAATTTTATTATATATATAAATTAGAAATAAAAAATATATTAAATTATTTGTTTATAATTATAATAAATTATAAATTTTATTATAAATTTAATTTATTAATGGTTATCAGTTTATCAAAATTTGTAATCGTAATCTTAACCGTTAACCATAATTTTTAACGATTTAATTAATCGAAACCGTTTCATATTAATATTTCAATTAATTAACCATTTAAATGTGACAGTTATATCAATTAATGGTTACGGTTAAAGATTACATGTTTTCTGAACACCCAGACTTAATGGTGAGTAAATCTAGTGAATTTAGAAAAAATTTAGAATAAATAGTTAAGATAATGGATGTGAATTTGGTTTAGAAGTATATTATATATCATTGAGAAAAAAAAAATTATCCTTCGATTGCTTCTGCCATATATTTTTGAAAAGTCAATTCATGATATCTTAACATATTTAGAATGTTCTATTGAGTTGATAATTATAAAATTTAAAAGTACAATTGTACATTTAATTAAACCAGTTATATTCAATTTGAAATCCCAGATCGATGTGGGTGGCCCGATTCGATTTGAGTTTCACATTAGAGCTATCAGAGCGACTCACCGTAAAAATCACAAAAAATTAATTTTTTTATTAAAAC